GACCTCAGCTTTCTTATTTACAGTGAGTTGGGGATGTATGTGGTTTCTGAGATTCTTCAGGATGCCATGGTGTTTACTGATCTTTGAGTGTCCTTCTGCTGTGGACCACAGCGAACATGAACACCGTCAACATTCCACAGTTCATGTGTTGTCATGTTGCTGGATGCTGCTGCAATTGCTCTATATGTAGTTTTCAAGTTCAGCAACTAATTCCTGTTTAACATAAGGTATTTGGTAGGCTACCATTGGCATTTAGTGTTTTTCATCCAGAAAGGACTTTGCAGTTCACCTGTAAGACTTCTAAGTGTCATCAAAATAAGATTTTTTTTTTTTTAATTCAAGGTAGAAGTGAAAGCAGATAAGCTTTCATTTTGGTTTAAATGTTATGTTCTGTGATTCTGTGTTGCTGAAGAAAGTCATGTGTCTTGAGAAGCCGCCAAGAGATATGCCAGTGCATAGCTTCTCTAACCTTTACGTATGCTTCAGTGAAAGCATGAGAGAATTTAAATGAAACTGCATGCTGCAGAAGGAATCCAGCCTCATACCTCAAACTGAAACATGCAGGGGCAAATGGTGATTGTCATTGCTGTCATTGAAAGTGTGTTTCAAAGATGCAAGCAATTTCACGTCAATCCAAGTAAAAACTTTTCACTGAAACTTTGCATGAACAAATATATACTGAGAGTCTGTTGCGTTCAGACACTGAACAAATTATACTACATACTACATTGTAGGGATATTTGCTCCCCTGTTTTCATTCAAGTAGGACCTAGAAAGTAAATTCACCTGCCTTGCAATTCTGCCCTCTGTTTAACAATAACCAGAAAGACCAGTAAGCTTGATAATGAGGAAAATGACTGTTAGCATGACTGTTCTCTTTTACCTTTTTAAAAAGTGATTTCATTTAGATTTTAAAACATTGTTGGACATTTGAAGATTTTTAGAAGTAATTCTTTCAAGGTAATAATCCTTTCAAGTGTATGCCTCTACTTGGTAATGCTTTGCTATGTTGTAGTACTAGTAAGGTTCAATTTCAGAAAAGCCTCTGAGTATGAAGCATATTGTTATGAATGTTCGGGAGCACTGCTGATTGCTAGAGAAAGGGAAGAGTGGGTAGAAGAGCCAGATTAAGTGGAAGACAAACTGGACTTGTAGATAAAAAAGCGTGAGTAATGCAGACTTGACCTGACATTCATATGAGAGTCTTGAGATCAGGAGAACGTGTGTCATTTGAGGATGTTTAGGATGAAAAAAAGCTGTGATTAGTCTGCTATGATTATTTAGTGATAACACCTCAGAGTAGATCATTCAGGACCCACCCAAGACTTACCTCTCACTTTGCCTCTTTATTAACATTATGCTTTAATTTGTTTTAATTTGTCCACATCCCAGTGTGCTCAGCTGTAACATGGAGCTATGAAAACTGTTTATCCTAAAGGTTATTGTGCTGCTCTATGTAAAGAGCAGGCATTGGGGTTTTTTTGATCATGTTACTTATTAGCTTTATGATTTTTCCCCCCTTGCATCTTTTTCCAGAGATTTCTTAAAGTTCCAGGAATAGAAAAGGGATTGCCAATGTGCACTTTAGTGTGGATTACAGAGTGCTCTGAAGAGAAGCAGAAAGGAAAGTGCAGTTAAGATAACACAGAAAACAAGAGCCAGCCTTAGTTCATGGTTGGCCAACATATTGTTTTTTTTATGGGTCTTTGGGTTTAAAAAAAATTGCCTACTCTTTCTGAAATTTGTACAGTTGGATCACAAATATTACAGTTCCTGATTTTAGATCAGCCAGCAAGGATTTATATGTGTTTCTTTTGCCTCAGTTCACCCGTCTATCTGCCCAGTTGTTCAGCCAGCCAGCAAATGTTTACTGAGGCCCAGGTGAGTCCAAGCTAAGCAGTGGCCAACACTGAGATCAAAGAAGCAACGAATATGTAGTCCATGAAGGTTAGGTATCTTCTGATTTTCCCAGTTTTTAAGGTGATAGTGTCAGATTAGGAAATAGTATAATCAGATGCTAAATCATTTGGATGCTTTCATGAGGTCAGATTTGTCCCCCTTTTTTGGTTATTTGAAACAATTCCTTGAGAAGTGAGACAAATAAAGAAAAATTAGCATGAGGGACGAATCGGAATCATCTTCTTCATCCTCAGCTCCAGTAAACGTCTCTAATTTCCTGTTGATCGCTCTTGACCGTGCTGTGAAAAGCATGAGTGCCGGTGTCCCGTCACGTGTATTCCGAGGATGTTAGTAGGAGTGCTTCCCAACCCCTTCCATATTGTGAGGCACATAGAAAGTGATGACATTTTTATGCCGCACCAAAGTAAGTACAGATTTCCTTGGTGGCTCAGCGGTAAAGAAGCTGCCTGTAATGCAGGAGATGTGCATTCCCTCCCTGGGTTGGGAAGATCCCTTGGAGAAGGAAGCAGCCAATCACTCCAGGATTTTTGCCTGGAGAATCCCACGGACAGAGGAGCCTGGCGGGCTACAGTCCATGGGGTCACAAAGAGTCAGACACAGCCAAGTGACTGTGGTGGTGATTTAGCCGGTCAGGACCTCGTAATTTCATTTTTTTAAGAACAATTTGGGCATGTTAGTGTCAGTGATGCCATGATACATTTTAGTAAGATAATGTACAGAGGATCCCAAAGAAAAATATTGGATTAAAAACTACTGTAGGTTTGAGGCAACTCTTTATAATTAAAAAAAAAAAAATAGGCTTCTTCAGGGAATTGAGAGTCCTGGACTTCAATTCTCACTTGATCACCTTTGGCAAATCATTTCTCTCTGAACCCCAATTTCCTTAACTTTGAAATGAGAGAACTTTCTTAACCTTTTGGCTAAGATTAAGTATAAAATGAGGGCAATTGAACAAGGTGAATTTTAAGCTGCTCTCTAGCTCTACTAGGCCATGATTTTGTACTGCCTATAAATCTTTGCTGTTGAGTCAACTGCTTTGCATTGAGTGTTTGCTATATGCTAAGCACTTGGTGAGTAATTTCTCTACATGGTCTAGTAGCTTCGTGGGCTCCCAATCAAAAGTTTCTGCATTGATGCTAAAGGAATTGTTAATAAAATACACCAACTGTCTAAACTGTCTAGGGCTGCCTGTATGTAGGTGACAGGTCCTGAACGTTCAACTTCTGGAAGAAAAGTTAATATTAAAAATCTCGTTAGGAGCTTTTTATGTAGTTGTCTGAGTCCTTTCTGTCTAGTGGGTAAGGCTGTCTAACTGGAGGGTAACAGAGGAGACCTGGAGAACACATGAATAATCAAGGACTGGGGGCATTATGGTAGTTTGCCCACAAGGTAGACCAATTATGGTAGCATTTATTTATTCCACAAGGGATTTATTCTCATTTACCACATGTCAGATATTTTCTAGGAGCTATAAATTTAAACCTCAGAGGTTCCTGCTATAGTCAGACACAGACAAACAGTCAAATGTACATACCGACTTGCATATATAATATATACATACATTAAAGATACCAGTCTCAGAGGGAGGGTTTTTGTAATAAACATATTAGTGACTAATTTGAAATGTTCAAAGCACATAAATTATCCTATCCTTGCTTCCCATTTTCCATTGAGTCATGTATCAGATACATTAAAAAGGACGAAACTAAATCGTGTCAAAAAAGTACTTCTGAGTACATAAAAATTCAGTAATATGCCCTTCAGGAAACATGATGTTTCAGATTCATGCTCACCAGGATACATGTACACATATATGCACAGATGTGGGTGTAATGTTTACTTGTAAGTGTCCGAAAAGAATACTTGAACCTAGAGGATAAATAGAGAAACCTGGGCTTGTGTCAGCACATATATGTATTTGTGAGTATGTGTCAAGGAGATTAGGAAGGAAAGATGAGAAGGAAGGGAAAAAATAATCAATGGTCTTAGAAGGAACCACAGTAGTCAGTAAATTTTGCCTTAACGCCCCCCCCCCCCACACACACACACACCATCTTTGCTGTATGGTGCTGCAGCTAGTGAACCATTATTCATTCCATTAGCTGATAGATCGTTGGATTTAAGTTGTCCACCCACCCAAATGTAACAAAATGCACAAAAGAATAATTTCAGTTCCTAAAAAATATAAAAATATCCACAGACATTAGAAGTGGTACTTAATGTACTCTACCAACTGTGATAAAGAAAACTTGCTAAAAGTCCTTCCAAAGCAGAAAAAAAATTTTTTTTAAATCTCAGGGAATTTTTTTCCTTTACTGGCCAGAAACTCATTCCAAGAAGTACCAGCCTGTCTCATTTCAAAATGCTTCCTTTGCCAAGGAAGCGGAAGCGGTCATATTCTTTCCCACCAAACTATGGATGAATTATAATTAGCCTACCTCTGGTGGAATAGTGAAGCAGCAAACATCTGCTATACTGAATCCAAGAACCCACGAATGAAACTATACCAAACTGTGAATCATACCTGGACGCAGATTAAAGGATTTGCGTTGTGTTTACCTTTTTCTTGATTTTCTTTGCAGTTTAAAATATGGATTTTTTAGCTCTGGCTCCATGTTCTATGGGGAAATATATGGGTTCCATTTGTTGACTCCTATGTTAATGTTGAAAAATTCCAGCTTTAAGGCAGATGGGCAGTAAAAGTTAACATTTTCTGTTTAATTTGTTATCACCTCACAGTTTTCTTTTTCTTTAAGACGGTGGTACAGTTAAAGAAAATTCAGAAGTGCACAGTCTAAGTTAGGTCCTTTAGTGTTTTTTTTTTTTTTCCTTCCAGTATAGTAAAAGTAACAGAGGACTGAAAAATGGTTTTTTCAACTTTATTTATAAAACAAGCAAGCTTCAAAACTACTGTTACTTATCAAAATTTTGTGTATCATGGTGTTTAAGGTGGTACTAAAGTATTCACCTAAAGTAAGGAAAGGAAATGGAATTTATGCTCTTGAGTTTTAGCTGTGAAAACATATAATAGTCCACTTGATTTAAATTTGTGTGTATGTCTTTTTATTTCCATCTATCAGAGAGCAGAAAGACAAACTCGAGTTATGGATTCAGCTCAATATGCAGAATTCTGTGAAAGTCGACACTTAAGTTTCTGTAAGTAAGCATTTAACTTGGCTTCATTATATGTTTAAGAGATTATGTGTTACAGATACACTAAAGTACAGCACAATCTCTGTTCCTTAGAAATTGGTGAATTTAATACGTATATGCATAGTTATAACTGTTATGGAAACAGCCTCTGCATTGTAGGGGAACCCATAAAAGGTTTTAACCCACTCTGCTGGTTTGCAGTTGTAAGTATTAAGAGGTTTTAAAGGGTGCTGGTAATACACAGAGAGCCATGTTAATTACTCACATTACTTTTAGTCCATTCTTCTTAATATTCCCATTTAAATTTCTTTTTTGGTTTCTTAATCATGTTTGCACTAGTATTGCTGATTGCATTTGACCCGTAGTGGGCTGTGGTAGTACAGTCATGACATTTAAAAGCCCCTAATGTTAATAAAAACTTGCCCTTCATGTGTGCATACTCGTTTTACCACAGTAGAATATGTCAACAGTCTCTTCTATCTTTGTCTATAACCTCCCGCTGTAGTGTGTGTTGCCTGTTAGCCAAGTTCATTAGTCCACACCTTGTACCTATGGTAAAATTAGTGCCATCCCACCCCTGCACACAGCTTAAGAGTACATAAAGGCTTGTGATAAACAGGGGGCTGGATTGTGTAGGAAAAACATCCTTACAGCAACAGTTCAGTGATGACTAAGACTTTTAGGGTGAAGGTCAAAGAGTAAGTGTGATGAAAAGTCCAGTTAAAAATATGACAAAGTAGCGCATGACCCTTGTCTGAGAAATCATAGACACAATGGTGTCTTTAAACGACAAGCTATTATGTGGTCACAATAACAGCGTATTCAATTTGGAAAAAGAAAATGAGAGCTTCATTTATAGATCATAAAGTGCAAATAAATGACACATTTCAAACAGCACCCCATGTAAATGTCAGCAAAATATAGGAAAACATGTTTGGGAAGGTTTTTTTTTTTCCCTCCTGACTAAATATACTTTGCAGTCTGACTAACAATTTGGCATCATACATCTGTGAAGCATTAAGTAAATGACACTTCAGATCATGGCAATTTCAGCAAATGAGAGGTTTTTGTATTGTAAATTTTAGGTTTAAAAATGGCATTCAAGTCTTTTATAAGTATAAATCTCCATTTTATAAAGTAACATTCAGTGCTATTGAACTATTTTTTGAATCATTCTTAATTTACTTAAAGAAACAAGTGCTATTTCACACTAAAACATGTAGTGTCCTAATACCTCTTTTGTTTAAAAAATCTGATTTTTCATAACTGAGTTTTTTGGTTCATAACTTAATAATAAACTGCAGTAGATAAAAAATTAATATTTTCCATTTCTGTAGTATAAAGAGTATAGTATAAAGAGTATCTTATGCTTAATTTTTTTTCTTTAAAGAAGAGGAATTTGGGCATTGAAAAATATTTCTTCATATAGTGCCCATAGTACTTCATCATGAAACCTTAGTGGGAGAATCTGTTTTCTGTGCCAGAGTACTGTCTTTGTGAATGCTCAGTCCAAGGGGGTCAGCAGTTCCAGAACTAGACTCTTCATGCCTTTGCTGATACAAGACCAAGGTACAGGAATTGTGATTCAGCCATTTGTGTCTTTTTAAATATTTAATCATAGTACTCACTAACTGAGACTACTGGTGCATTTTAAAATGACCTGTCTATAAAATATAAAGACTGAGGGTGAGCTTTAGAATTAAGACACTGATCCCATTCACCAGTATTTTGTTTTTATATTTATATAAGTCAGATTATCATTTCCCTTTAAAAGTCTTTTAAAATCTGATATTAATTCAAAAAGCTCTAATTTAGTTATAATTTGATAAACCTGTTTCCAGTCCTTTCAGCCCCCATTGTTTCATGTGTGGCTTTTGTGAACAGATGCCTAAATTTTCTTTTTAATCAATCTGAGAGTCTCTTTGTATTTTAATTGATGAGTTTAATTTATATGTATTTAATTACTTATACATTGGGGTTTATATATGCTGTCTTATTTTGTGTTTTTAATTTACTGTGCTTTTTTGTTTGGTTTTCCTCCTTTTATTTGGATTGATGGGCTTTTCTTGATTCCATTTTTCACAAACCAGTTCGTATATTATTCTATTGCTATTATTTTAGTTGCTATCCTTAATTTTTCTAAAGCACATTCCTGGCCTAAAATTTCTTTAAGTTGGTAAGTACAGGCATACCTTGTTTTATTGATCTTTGCTTTATTGTGCTTCATAGATAGTGTGTTTTTTTAACAAGTTGAAAGTTTGTGGCAGCCCTGCCCTGTGTCAAGCAAGTCTATTGGTGCCATTTTTCAAACAAGTTTATTTTTAATTAAGCTATGTACATTTTTTTAGATATAGTTATTTTACACTTAATAAACTATAGTATAGTTTAAACGTAGCTTTTTATATGCACTGGAAAACCAAAAATTTCATGTAATGTGCCTTATTGCAATATATGATTTATTGTGGTGGTCTGGAATCAAACCCACAGTATCTCCAAGGTATACTTGTATCTGAACTTTCCATCTCAGCCTTATTTTGTTTTCCCCAAGCCTCTGAAAGTACTTTAAAGCACTCCTTTTTGTCTTAAAAAACTGGCTTTATTTTGTCCTCATATTTAACTGATAGTTTAGTTAAGTAGGAAATTGTAGACTAATAGTTATTGGTTAAAACATGATTCCATTGTCTTTTTGCCTCTGTTGTTGGTTAGAAATCTGATGTCTACTTGTTTTATGGTTTCCCTGTGGGAGAAAAGGAAAGAAAGAAGATGTAGCTGCCAGGCCCTGCAGTACATGGGGAAGTTAACAGGCTGGCAAGCAGCAGCTGATCACTCTCTCTCTCTCTTTAGTCACTCAGTCGTGTCCGACTCTTGCGACCCCATAGACTGTGGCCTGCCAGGCTCCTCTCTCCATGGGATTCTCCAGGCAAGAATACTGGAGTGGGTTGCCATTTCCTTCTCCAGGGGATCTTCCTGACCCAGGAATCAAACCCAGGTCTCCCGCATTACAGGCAGATTCTTTACCACCTGAACTATGATATCATCCCTATTTATAGCTGACCAATAAATAGGTATAAAAGGAAAGAAGGAAGGAACCCCTACTATGAAAGTTTCCAGGGAAGGGACTTCCCTGGCAGTCTAGTGTTTAAGACTTCACCTTCCAATGCAGAGGGTGTGGGTTTGATTCCTGGTCAGGGAGCTGAGATCCCACATGCCTCATAGCCAAAAAAACAAAGCATAAAACAAAAGCAGTATTATAACAAATTCACTAAAGAGTTTAAAAATGATCCACATCAAAAAAAAAAATCTTAGGGAAAGAAAAAATTCCAGAGAAAACCATGCCCTCTTAGGAAGGCTATTTTTGATTCACCCAAATAACAGTGATTTTGCAGAGAGAGAAGTTGTAGAAGGCTTTCTTCAGAGTACAGTGAGCATCACAGAGGGCCATGAGGGAAGGGTCAGGACTGGAAAGGCTGGTGAGAAGGGATATGGCAGAAATAATGAAATCACATGGAGGGGTGAGAGGTGAGAATGGAATGAATTTTTCCCCAATCACTGACAAGAAAGACAATTTATGAGAATTAACTAACCTTACATTTACATATGAAATTATTATGTAAAGTTTATTTCCAACACAGGCTAAAAACCAAGGAGTATCAGAAAGAGGATGATCCTAGGAACTTTTGACCTTTGGTCAAGATTCTGAATAAATAGATAAATTTATTGATCATTATTATTACTATTATTGATCATCATTATTCTGAATAAGTTGATAAGTTTCTAGGACTACCCTTAATCCTGATACAGTGAGAAGAGGGGTGAAGGAAAAGGAACTCATTGAGTCTGACTGGAGGTATCTGTGCCTCTTGTGTTGGACCCACTTTTACCCTGGAAGGATCCATCTCTGAAACAGTCCTTCCCACGTGTCAGGAACAGAATTATCTAAGAATCTTCACCTGTTGCAGGAATAGGAGTAACTCAAGTGGTTTTGGAGAAGGAAATGGCACCCCACTCCAGTATTCTTGCCTGGAAAATCCCTTGGACAGAGGAGCCTGGTGTGCTATACAGTCCATGGGGTTGCAGGAGTCAGATACAACTTAGTGACTGAACCACCAAGTAGTCTTATGGGACATCTGTGCATCTTTTTTGATGTGTGGAGAAGTTTGGATCCTGTCCTTTTATTAAAGAACTATCTATCATTTGTTCTTTCATTCATTCACTCACTCATTTCTTCTAGAAATATTTATGGTGAGTGCACTAATGCCAGGCACTATTCTGGGTGCTAGGATACCACAACACACCCAGGGTCCTCACCTCTGCCTTCTCAGTGAGGAAGAGCTAACGAGGAAGCTGCCCATTCTGTTGTGTAGGTGGACAGATCTGACCAAGAGGTCTCCTTTCCCTCACGTTTAAAATCAAGTGTTTAGAGCAAAGTCACGAAATCCTGTTTCCCTGTTCAGTTCAGTTCAGTCACTCAGTCATATCTGACTCTTTGAGACCCCATGGACTGTAGCACGCCAGGCCTCCCTGTTCATCACCAACTCCTGGAGTTTACTCAAACTCATGTCCATTGAGTCAGTGATGCCATCCAACATCCCATCCTCTGTCATCCCCTTCCCCTCCCACCTTCAATCTTTCCCAGCATCAGGGTCTTTTCCTTCACCATCATCCATCAGAGGGCAGACAGACTGAAAACCACAATCACAGAAAACTAACCAATCTAATCACATGGACCACAGCCTTATCTAACTCAATGAAACTTTGAGCCATGCTGTGTAGGGCCACCCAAGACAGACGGGTCATGGTGGAGAGTTCTGACAAAATGTGGTCCACTGGAGAAGGGACTGGCAAGCCACTTCAGTATTCTTGCCTTGAGAATGCTATGAACAGTATGAAAAGGCAAAAAGATAGGATACCAAAAGATAAACTCCCCAGGTCAGTAGGTGCCCAGTATGCTCCTGGAGATCAGTGGAGAAATAACTCCAGAAAGAATGAAGAGATGGAGCCAAAGCAAAACAACACCCAGCTGTGGATGTGACTGGTGATAGAAGCAAAGTCTGACGCTGTAAAGAGCAGTACTGCACAGGAACCTGGAATGTTAGGTCCATGAATCAAGGCAGATTGGAAGTGGTCAAACAGGAGATGGCCAGAGTGAACGTTGACATTTTAGGAATCAGCTCGCTAAAATGGACTGGCAAGGGTGAATTTAGCTCAGGTGACCATTATATCTACTATTGTGGGCAAGAATCCCTTAGAAGAAATGGAGTAGCCATCATAGTCAACAAGAGAGTCTGAAATGCAGTACTTGGATGCAATCTCAAAAAGGAAAGAATGATCTCTGTTCATTTCTAAGGCAAACCATTCAATATCACAGTAATCCAAGTCTATGCCCCAACCAGTTTCCCTGTTACTGTCTGTTAAAGGGAGAAATGAATAAGGTACATTTTATTGATCTTGCCAAATTGCTGCCTGTTAACTTCAGAAGTATTCCACAGATGTGAACCAAGTGTTTGTGAGCTATTGCAGCTTCCTAGTTAGATGGAATGTTATTGTCAGAGAGCCCTGGGAAGATTGGTTCCTTTAGGGAGATAGCTTTAAGGGGGATCGCCGTAACTCGGCCACAGCCGACAGCTTTGGATACATGCTTCAATGGCAGAACTTAATGTCTCCTGTGATTTATTTCACAGAAAACTCTCTGTATGTGGAATCCAGGAGTACTGTATCTTATCAGGATCAAAACATCATGCTTGGAGTTACCATTAAGTGTTTCACAGACTTGTGGGGCCAGATTAATCAAAAGAATAACCAGTAGATTTTTTAAAGATGATTACATTATAGATGTGATAAAATCTTCACTGTCAATATTTTCCTCTAGATTACTAGTTAAGTTAGTAATATCTAATGAAGGCCCTATGTCACATTAGACTGCTTAGCACTGTGGCAGTTTCAAGATACCTAAAAGAAGATTCCTTGTGTTTTCTGTACTGTTATGTATGCAGAGAGATGAGATGTGTGGTATTGACCCACAAAACTTGTAATGTGGCTTGTGAAATCACGAGCAGACACAGAAGGATCTCTGATAAGTGTTCAGTAAATGATTGGAATGGGGAACGTGTGTCTGTGGTCCTGGGCAGGGTTCATATGAATGAAGCCAGGTGATAGGAGAGTATCCCATGCAGGGGTCAACACAAAGAGGGTTAACTCAAGCCCAGGTGATGTTTTAATTAGGGAATAATATAAAGGCAGGTGGGAATCACTCTGGGTGGTTTTGAGAATCACGCTTAAGAATTTGGACACGATTTTCATCAGGAAAATATAACCACAGACTTAGATCAGGCCAGATATCAGTTTGTTCCATTTAATTCTAAATTCACAACTTTGAGCCTACTCAAGAAAAAGACCTATTTTGAAAGGTAGTAAAGATACATTTCTGTGTGTTCCTTTTTTCTTCACGGGTTCTTTCTTGCAGGATTTTCTTTCCATAAGAATAAAGTTACATCAAGCAAGTGATTCTTCTGACTCTTGTTAGAACAAAATCTATGGTCAGTGATAACCTATTCTAACACACTGTAAGAAGTGCTGAGCATTCAGTGGTTTAGCGTACTTTTAGGCAGCAGAGATATGAAAGACGCAAATGTGTAAAGGCATTCTTGGGACTGGAATATATCTATACACTAATAAGATTTCAAAAAAATTTCATTTTATGCACATTGTTTTCACTAGATATATTTTTCACTTTTGTGATGGTAATATGCAGTATTAAAACACTTTAAAAACGAAATATTCTCTTTAAAAACTAAATATTCTCTACTTTTTTTTTAATGACTAGCCAAAAAAGGGTCCAAATTTCGAGACTGGTTGGACTGCGGTAGTATGGAGATAAAGCCCAATGTTGTTGCTATGGAAATTTTAGCATATTTAGCGTATGAAACGGTGGCACAGGTAAGAACTTGAATCTATTGTATCAAACTGTATGTAGCTGCTTTCCCCTTATTCCTGTCCATGATCAATTCTTCTTCCACCTGCTGCTCTACCAGGACTAACAGCCATGAGTTCTCTTCTATGATAATCTCAGTATTTGCTGAAATTTAGGTCAATTAATGTTTCTTTGCATCCTCAGCTCCAGTGGGTGTTAGGCAAAAGTGACTGTTTCTTGCAACTTTAGCCAATCCAGAAACCATCCTTGCATAGTTTTCCTCAACATTGAATTCCAAGTACACATCTCTCTTGCTTAGAGATTATTTTTGAACTTTAAAAATACCTCTCTAGGAATGTACAATTCACTGAGTGCTTACCAAAACCTGAGTCTGGAATCACTGTCCTCTAGTAGTTTCTCAAAGCCTGGTTCTCAGACTGCAAGCATCAGCTTCCCGTTGGTTCTTGTCTGAAATGTAAATTTCTCAGCTACATCCTAGAGCAGCCCTACCAAATTTATTATTGACTCTCAGAGCTTGGAACCCAGAAATCTGTATTTTAAAATGTTTCCCTGGAGATTATAAACTTTGAGAACCACTCTACTAGGAGGTCAGAATATATCCTTTATGTTCATGGGTAGGTCCACTTACCAGCCATGAAAGCATACATTTATGTCCACAATACAGATTTTTTTTCAGCAGACTATCTTACTGATAACATTTGGGATATAATTGCTTGTATGTAGTTTTACCGTTTTAGTCACCTTGGTGATTATTTCCAGCTCTGTGACTTTCTTATTCTGATCTTCTAGTTAGTGGATCTGGCTCTCCTTGTGAGGCAGGACCTGGTAACCAAGGCAGGAGACCCCTTCAGCCATGCCATTTCTGCCACCTTCATTCAATACCACAACTCTGCCGAAGTAAGTATTTAAAAATCTGGCTTTGACATGTCTGTGGATTTTTTTCCCCCTCATGTCTGGTATTTACATTAGTAGTTCTAAGAAAAAGATTATGTAGGAATATATAGCCTTCAGTCACAGAATCTTAATACATTCAACATTCAAACAAATACCTACTATGTTTCAGGCCCTAACAGTCCACTTAATGTAGTGATTTTATCACCTTCTCTTAGCCTTATTTAGCATTCCTGGCCCTTCAGTGAAAGAGTACCTCTCATTTCCATGGGAGATGAACACTTGGTTTAGTTAACTAAATAACATGGAGAAAAGTTATGTATGTAATTTTTGCTTCTAAGATGAAAGGATTATTTTATTCATGTAATAATAATTCCAGGCATTGTTGATAGTTGGACTTTCCAGTTATGGATCCATCTCTCAACATGATTTAAAGAAATAGGGCTCCATGTATCCTTTGTGGTTTGATTGATCCAATCATGTAAAAATCACATCCTTTCTATATTCAGTTTTTGTTGCTGGGATCCCCACCTGTGGGGACTGTGAAGTCTTCTTGCCAACTATAAGGCTTTGTATAATAAGTGTCTATCATTTTTGGCATAAAAAATAATTGCTGTAAACAACATGTGCCTAAAAACCAGAAATGTAACATCTAGTTAATGAATTTGCAAATAATCTGACTTTCTTATTTTTTACACTGACATACACATCAGTTTCATATAATTCAACCTAATGACCATAAAGAGGGCAGCAAGGAGGTTTGATTAACATTCACATGTATAATGTGAAGTGACCCGCAGATCAAGTTAGGTGAAACCTATAACCTGAAAATGGCTACTGAGCAAGCCCCTTTGAGACTCTGAAGAAAACCATAAATCCTTTCTCCATAAATACATTTGCGCATTTTGTATACAATGTCAGGGCATTGAAAGACTCTCTGAAACCATTCCATGAATATAAAGGATCTGTGAACCCATTGGACTCCAAATTTAAGTGTCTCTGCTCTAAGATACTTACGAGATATATAAAGATATATGCTTGTATCTTATTACAGGCCAAAAGTATGACATCTTTTTTATGCCCCTTGTGGAACCAGATTGGCTTAGAACTAAAGTATGAATTAAAATGTTTATGCCCATTAAAAATCCATTTTTTTTTCTTGAAAAAGGTTATACATCATTATCAGTGAACATGCTTTAAAAGTCCCTAAAGCACACCCAGTTGATTAAACAGTATCTGTTTTCTTTATGTTACAAACCCAAATTATGATGTCAAAGAACACCCTTTAAACTGTCTTTGGTACGTGTTCACTTTATGAATATGTGTATAAGTATGCTTTTCATTAACATCAGACAAATGTGTTGTAACATTTCTAACTAAAGAAATTTACAGTGAACATAACAAGCCTAGTTTTCCCTTAACATTCAAGGGATTGCTTACGTGGCTGGGAAAACTGTATCTCCCCCCAACTTTCTTGATTCTCCAGGGTGGCCAGGCTACCCTGGGCAGCGCTCAGCAACCACAGCTGCTGCTCCCAGCTACCCAGCAGTTAAGAAAAATGGCTTGTATGTGTTGAACTTCCTGGGCTCTCTGGGAGGTGGGAGCAGGAGTGTCAGAAAGCTTCCTGGCTAAATATGTTGATACAAGCCTCCAGCATTTCCCTGGCCTGCCAGACACCCCTCCTCCAATGTGACTGGTGGTCAAAATGAACATTCGGAGAGACTGGAAGTCTTTCTGCCCTTTATTACCTGACTCAACAGACAAAAATGACCACTCTAGCCCAGGAATCCTATTTATCAGCATTGCAGGTCAGCAAGCACAGTTGAGGGCCTGCTTTAGGGACTTTACCAGGTTAGGTACCACTGTAGGCTCTGGAGACTAATATGATCTGTAGTCAGGGAGATACAACATTCTGCAAAACAAACAACGCAGTAAATGAACAAACAGACAACTCAAGATTTTATGTACTGATTTCCAAATGAGTGTCGTAGACAGAAAGTTCAGAGATAAAAGCAGCTCCCTAATTATAATGAAAGAAGACTTCAGAAAGGAAGTTGAGTATTGAAGAAAAGATAAGACTTTGATGAGATGGTAAAAGTGGGGAAAATACTGTAGGCTCTGGAGGCAGTGTAAATGCAGTTGTACCGGGGGGAAAATCCTGATTAAAATATTCAAGCCAAGGACTCATTGCGAAGGGAACTAGGAAGTTAGAAAATGAAGGCCTTAGACGCTTAAGGAAGGAAGAATTGAAAGTTTCTTGGCTAAAAAGTGATGAGTTCAAAAGGGTATTTTAAGAAGACCAAATGGAGGTTCTATGTACAGTCAATTGGATTGGAAACAAGGCATGGAATTAATCACATGCATTCTATTTTAATAATTGTCAATTCTCAAACACTAACCGTATAAAGAACTGAGCTAGTTAAGCTTAAGGTTCTCAGATTATCAAGGTTAATATTAATTTGAGTTAATTTTCCAGATTTTTTTTTCAAACATATGGCTTATATTCTGGAAGTAATGATCTCTAGGAATTACCTTGTTTTTCCTAAGAGCAACTCATGCCACATTAGCTTTATTCCTTCTTGTTTGATGTTTCTAGGCAAGCAGATCAAAGAAATACTCTTAAAAACAGTATCTGAATTTCAGCAAAATGTTTTACAAAGTTTAGCATAATTTTTAAAGTACATACAAAGAACTGTAGGTCAGTAGATACCATGGTTATTACAGTTGATAGGATCGGGAAAATATAGATTTATAATACCATATATGAAAAAGACTTATTTGCCTATAAGTTTCTTATAATGATAAATAATAAATATTGTGATGGTACTGAAAAGGAAACATCACAGTATTTTTGCTTTGTTTCAGTGTCTAGGCACCATCCTAGAGGATGGACATTGACAAAGTGGAGTCTGTCTAAAGGAGAGTAATAGGGGTGGGAGGAAGACCCTGAAAGCATGGCTCATAGTGAGTGGTAGAAGGAACTTGAAGTGTTTGACCTGTAGAAGAGAAGAGGCTGTGAGATAGACAGTCTTCAAATATTTGAAGGACCTCCAACAAGGGAGAGAGAACAGACTTGCAGGCATAGTCAAAGAAAGCGGGTAGATATGAGGGATATTCTGAAGAGAGGAAGAAACGAGGTGTTGGAAGAGCTAGAGATAAATCTACAGTGACCCTAAAGCGCTGAGTTTGAGTTACTTCACCTTGAAACGAAGGCTGGTCACCATGATACAGAGAATGTCTGAAAGGCATCCTGTTTGGAAACTTTAGAACTTCCTTTTGAGTACTTTTGAAATACTGACAAAACTTCTCAGTAAAAATATCTGTATCTGACTGAATCAGCAGAAATTTTGCAAGCTGTATCTGAGGAATCCCAATTTTTATCTGAATGATCAGACAGATTAGAAATTAATATATTTAGATCCTTAGAGGCAAGATGATGGCATCGTTTCTGTGGACTGGATAACAATAAATTGGGTTTTTATATTTGTAACTTTCAAATATTATTGAATTCATGAGTTAACTAAATAAAATGTTAGTAGAAGTTCTGGTTGCCTGATTTCAGAGCCACATCTCTTTGAACAGGGGTCTTGCATGAAGCCCTATCCAGACTCTCCTGAGAACACACCTCCTCCCACACCAACAGCTCCATCCGCCGGCTCACAGCACTCGGGGAAGGCCACATCGGGACCCCTAGGGAATGGGAGTGCTGGACAAGACTCAGCTAAGACCAAACAAAGGAAAAGAAAAAAGGTTAATGATATTTTTCTATTTCTTTTTCTTTCTTTTTTCTTTTTGGTACAAAGAAGAGAGATCTTGGGGCTTCCCTGGTAGCTCAGCTGCTAAAGAATCAGCCTGCACTGTAGGAGATCCTGGTTCAATTCCTAGATTGAGAAGATCCCCTGGAGAAGGGATAGACTACCCACTCCAGTATTCTGGAGCTTCCCTGATGGCTCAGATGGTCAAGAATCCACCTGCAGTGTGGGTGACCTGGGCTTGATCCCTGGGTCAGGAGGATCCCTGGAGGAGGGCATGGCAACCCACTCCAGTATTCTTGCCTAGAGAATCCCCATGGACAGAGGAGCCTGGCGGGCTACAGTCCGTGGGGTCACAAAGAGACGGATGTGACTGAGTGGCTGAGCATAGCACAGTGCAAGGAGATCTTACTGAGTCCACAGGTGTGGAAAGTGTGCTCTGTTTTTCTCATTAATTAGATTTTTAGAAGCAGCCATTTACAGCAAGAGATTAATGTTTTCTAACATTTTATTATAAAAATTTTCAAGCATACAAAAAAGTTAAAAGAATTATAGAGTGAATACCATATATCTATCATCTGATTCTGCAATTAAAATTTTACTATACTTAATACATTTACTATATGTACATCTGATTATTCTTTTATCCATCCACCAGTTCTTTTTATTTTTGATACATTAAAAGGTAAGCTGCAGGCATCAGTATAATTGATGCCAAAACACATAATTTTGTATAATGTATACATTTTAAAGAAATTTATAATGTATACATTATACCTTTTTTTAAATGGTAAAGTTTATATACAGTGTGCCACTCAATTCTTAAGTATACCATTTGCTGAATTTTGACAGATATATAAATTCATTGTTTTCTGATACCCACTCAAGATAAAAAAAGAACATTATGATCAGTTCAGAAAATTCTTTCACACCTCTTCCAGGCAATCCCATCACCATCCCCAGAAAAGCAAACACTGTTCTGACTTTTTAGTTTTCTCTCTTCTGGAGCATCATACAAAGAGAATATAATATGTATACTCTTTTATGTGAAATTTCTTTCACTCAGGGTATTTTTAAAGCTTATGTTTTTAAGTACAAATGTAACTTATTCTTCTTTATTGATGAGTGAGTTGCTTGTATATCAGTTTACTCATTTTCATTTTGGTAGTTAGGCTATTTCCAGTTTTGGGGGTATTATGAATAAATCTGTTATGAGCATTATTGTACAAATCTTTATGGACAAATGCTTTCATTTTTCGTAGGTAAATGAAATTGCTAGCTAGAAATGAAATTACTGGATCATAGAGTAGCTATGTGTTCAGTTTCTAAAGAAACTATAAGAACTTTTCCCCAAATGATTGTATCATTTTATCCAAAGCTACAGTAATCACAACAGTATGGTACTGGCCCAAAAACAGAAATATGGATCACTGGAACAAGATAGAAAGCCCAGAGATAAACCCACGTGCCTATACTTAACTAATCTATGACAAAGGAGGCAAAAATATATAATAAAATGGAGAAAAGACAGTCTCTTCAATAAGCAATGTTGGGAAAACTGGATAATTCCGTGTAAAAGCATGAAATTAGAACGCTCTCTAACACTATACACAAAAACTCAAAATGGATTAGAGACCTAAATGTAAGACCAGATATATAAAATTCTTAGGGGGAAATACTAGGTAGAACACTGTCTGATATAAACAAGATCTATTTTGATCTACTTCATAGGGTAACGAAAGTAAAAATAAACAAATGGGACCCACTTAAACATAAAAGCTTTTGCACAGCAAAGGAAACCATGAACAAAATGAAGAGACAGCCCACAGAATGGGAGAAAATATTAGCATCCACTGTTTTTAATCACATGTCAGAAGATTTTGTAGCTTTTTTTGTGTGTTTGTAATGTGCTGTTTTTCTCTGAATGTTTTCAAAATCATATCTTTATTTTGATTTTCAGCAGTTTGACCATGATATCCATAGATACGGTTTTCTTTGGCATTTTTTCTGTTTAGAATTCTCTGAGCCTCTTGAAAATTGAATACTTTTAAATTGAGGGGGGAATTATCAGCAATTATTTCTTAAGATATTTTGCCTGCCTCGTGTTCTCTCTTCTCCCCTTCTGAGATTCCAGGTATATTTTCGTCAGTTACTTTGATATTGTTCAACGTGTACCTGAAGCTCTGTTTAATTTCCTTTTCAATCTTTTCTCTCTGTTCTTCAGGTTGAATAACTTCTGTTGATTTTCCCTTATGTTCCAAACTCTATCTACTTTCAATTCAGTCTTAACACTCATCCATTAATGTCTTGTTTCTGCTATTTTGTTTTACAGTTTTATAATTTCCTTTTGATTTTGTTTTATAGTTTATTGTTATTTTTTATTATTTATTACAACTTCTTTTATTTCATAATAGCTGTTTTAAAATTCTCATATGATAAATTAAATATCTGGATTGTTTTGAACTCCATTGAGTATAAGTCACACTTTCTTCTAGTAATTTTAAATTATACCCTGGAAATTGTGAGTAATATATTGTAGGGATTTCAGGTTCTGTAATATTCCTATGAGAAGAGTTGGTGTTGGTGGTGTGTTCATATGTATGTTAAGCAGACTGTTTACTCTTCTAGATGGAACTCTATAAACTCCAAACTCAAACTCCTCTTCAGCAGCTAGATGCTCTCTTGCTTTATTTAGTTTTACCTTGGTTTCTTGGATTCAGTCCCACAAAGGAATAGCTTAGAAATTTGTCAAAGATTTGGGTAAAATTATACACTTAATATTTGTCTTCCTTTCTTTGATTCTGTCCTTTTTCAGGATTTTCTTTTTCTCTTTATACCTACTGTGGTTGCCCTGAACTTTGATCTATAGTTCTTCATGCCTCTAAGGTCCCCTGACCTTATACTGACTAGGGCCTACCCTGGGCTTAAACAGAAAACCAACCCATAGCCATTCCCTTCTCCTGTATATAGTACTCGCCCTTTCAGTTTTTGTCCAGGTTAGATCACTCTGTTGCTTTCAGGTACTTGTTTTTTATAATTTGTCCAAAATTTATACTTTTCTCTACAAGTTGGTTGACACAATAGAAACTATTTGCCACTACTAGTAGTGGAACTGTGGCGAGATATAATCTTATAATTGATGATAAGCAAATTTAAATTTCATCCTCATATCTGGATTCCCCCTTTTATTTTCAGAATGACAGGTCTCAGTGCCTATTGATTATGGGAAACTCTGAACTATAAGGAACTTCTGTGTTGTAAAGTAGTTCTAAAGAATTTCAGCTATAGTGCTCTCCAGCTCATTCAGTAACTAAAACTAGAGTAGTAAAATATTACTTAAGGACCTCTTCAGTGGATTTGCTTTACAAACTATGCAGAAATTTATAATTAACCTGGTAATTATGCATACATAAAATAATTTTTTTTAATTTACTTATCCACATCTTCTACATTCAAGAAAGTGAAAGTGTTAGTTGCTCGGTCGTACCATCCCCGTGGAAAAGAAATGCAAAAAAGCAAAATGGCTGTCTGAGGAGGTCTTACAAATAGCTGTGAAAAGAAGAGAAGCGAAAAGCAAAGGAGAAAAGGAAATATATTCCCATCTGAATGCAGAGTTCCAAAGAATAGCAAGGAGGGATAAGAAAGCCCTCCTCAGCAATCAATGCAAAGAATTAGAGGAAAACAACAGAATAGGAAAGAATAGAGATCTCTTCAAGAAAATTAGAGATACCAAGAGAATATTTTGTGCAAAGATGGGTTCAATAAAGGACAGAAATGGTATGGACCTAACAGAAGCAGAAGATACTAAGAGGAGGTGGCAAGAATACACAGAAGAACTGTACAAAAAAGACCTTCACGACCCAGATAATCACCATGGTATGATCACTCATCTAAAGCCAGACATCCTGGAATGTGAAGTCAAGTGGGCCTAAGAAAGCATCATTACGAACAAAGCTAGTGGAGGTGATGAATTCCAGTTCAGCTATTTCAAATCCTNGAACTAAAAAGCCTCTTGATGAAAGTGAAAGAGGAGAGTGAAAAAGTTGGCTTAAAGCTCAACATTCAGAAAACTAAGATCATGGTATCTGGTCCCATCACTTCATGGGAAATAGATGGGGAAACAGTGGAAACAGTGTCAGACTTTATTTTCAGGGGCTCCAAAATCACTGCAGATGGTGACTGCAGCCATGAAATTAAAAGGTGCTTACTCCTTAGAAGGAAAGTTATGACCAACCTAGACAGCATGTTAAAAAGTAAAGACATTACTTTGCCAACAAAAGTCTGTCTAGTCAAGGCTATGGTTTTTCTAGTGGTCATATACGGATGTGAGAGTTGAACTGTGAAGAAAGCTGAGTACCGAAGAATTGATGCTTTTGAACTGTGGTGTTGGAGAAGACTCTTGAGAGTCCTTTGGACTGCAAGGAGATCCCGCCAGTCCATCCTAAAGGAGATCATTCCTGGGTGTTCATTGGAAGGACTGATGCTGAGCCTGAAACTCCAGTACTTTGGCCACCTCATGTGAAGAGTTGACTGATTGGAAAAGACCCTGATGCTGGGAGGGATTGGGGGCAGAAGGAGAAGGGGACAACAGAGGATGAGATGGCTGGATGGCATCACCGACTCGATGGACATGGATTTGAGTAAACTTTGGAAGTTGGTGATGGACAGGGAGGCCTGGCGTGCTGCGATTCCTGGGGTTGCAAAGAGTTGGACACACCTAGCGACTGAACTTAACTGAACTGATCCAACTCTTTGCAACTCCATGGACTATAGCCCACCAGGCTTCTCTGTCCATGGAATTCTCCAGGCAAGAATACTGGAGCGGGTTACCATTTCCTACTCCATATTCAAGCTCTTGCTATATTTTGATATTTTTACTCACTGGAAACCTCAGTTGTGATGGTACTAAAAGCCAAGGAACTTGATATATAATCATATCTTAATACTGTCATTTTAATTTTGGGAGTGTCCCTTAACTTCACTCTATCACCTATAATGTGGGGAGTTGGGAAAGTTTAGAATAGATAATATCTTGTGTTTTTTCCAAATTTTATAATATGTGAATCTTTGAATTTGGTGATTCTTTGTTGTCTTCTTTTCAAATACCTTTTCTAGTTAATTTCTTCAGTTTAAAAAAAAATCACTTCCTACTTACATAGAATGACAGCTTACACAACATCTCAGTTAAATTTTGAAATGAGAAAATTAACTGTTTTTAACTGTATTATACTATAGCCTTTGGCCAAGGAGTGGCCCAACTTCATCTGAAGGGAAATCCTCTATAAACTCAAAGAACTGAGAGAGCTCTGTGTACAAGAGTGAGGAGAAAAAAGACACTTGCCTGCCCACTCTGATCATACATCAATCCATGTGGTCAGTGAGGGACAGAAGTCAGTATTAATGCTACTAACCTTTCACTTGCTCTGACCGGAGATACTATTACTCCTTTGTTACACCTCTGTAGAGTCTAATGTATCAAGTTTAGCAGAAGATGTAGTCCTGAAAGAGTCAGAGACAGTTATCTGAGATTCCAGGTCCTTCTTAAATATTAGATTACCTGGCAAGGGGAAAGCTGAGAAAGGATTTTAAAAAAAGTTGTTTCTTCCCAACAGCTTTTATGTTGGGAAGAAAAGAGTCAGATAAGAGATCCTGGGGCAACAGAAGTTTCAATGAAACTTCTTGTACCGCAGTTGAGAGTTGAAACTGTTGAAGAATTTTATTCAGTTCAAGACAGCAAGGACAGAAGAGGGACAATGCTCAGATTCAGGAAATATGGAGAACTCTGTGTGATACTTCAGCTTCCAGTGTTGAGCAGCAGCTTCTGAATAAAAAGACATAACTAAAAACGAAATGGAAGAATCCAAGAATGGAATATGAATACAGCCGGGGAAAGGGTACCTGACATATGAAGAAGAACTTTACCAAGCACCTTGTTCTTGACTTTGGGAAATTAGGAGTTTAGTCACCACAGAAATTCTGACAAATACACTGTAGACAACAACACTCAGTATTTTGTCAAACATGTGGGTTTCATTTTTGAAAATTTAAAGAATATTCCAAGATGTGGGCTCAAGCAGAATGAGAAAGCTAAATTGGTATATAAATCTAACAGTCTTCATATGTATTTATAACATAATATTTTTATTAGTGTAGCAAATACATAAATTTAATGCTAATCCTTCTGTAACAGTTTTGAAGACTGTTACAAAATTTATGAAGTCACTGCTGAAGTAAAAATTCTAAACTTGATGTGAATTTTGAACTTAAACAGATTACTAGTACTTTGGTGAGGGAAGGGATGTTTGCAGAAATGCGAAGGTATTTTTTGAGGTGAAAACAATACTGCAGATACCACATTTGAGTTTTAAAGATTTCCTTGCAAAAAACTCAATGGGCAAATCAGGAGGGTAAAGAAGTGCATGTGGTAACTTATGCTGGTGTTTGCAGTGGCTTAATTGTAGCAGATAAACCAGAAACTGGCAAAATAGAAATTTTAATGACATTTTTCACAAAATTGGGTATTCTCATTTTTATATAAGGTAACCTCCTCTTTTTAGCAATGATAACGTGACTCAAACAGGATGGCGTACTTGCTGCCATCTTACAAGTAGTGGCCACAGCGGTTTCTAACATACACTTCCTTCTTCAGTGTTCTGAAGTCAATTGTATCACCATGCCAGAAGTTTTGAGAGGTTTTGACCAACATATTCTATACCAAAATTGAACTTATTTGGGAAAGTAAAGGAAGAGTACCCTCTTCAATGGCCATGTAGCAAAGAAATAAATCCACTTTTCAGGGAGAAAGCGTTCACAGAGGAAAGCTCTGGAAGAACCCCTTACCCCCCTAGTCTGCAGGATATTGCCCTCTTAATGACCCCATTTTGTATGGGGTTGGCCAAAATATCCATTCTGGCTTGTCTATAAGATCCTGATCAAACTTTTTTGCCAGCCCAACTCACAAAAGAGTCTTTAGCCTCACCAGGTACTTGACAATTGCATTTATTCTAATATACTCCAACTGAAACAAAGTACTTGGGATAAGAATCAAGAAAGCATTTTTTCTTTTTAAAGAAAAACTATGTGTGCACTTTTATATGAGTGCCAAAGTGAGGGGTTAAGATAATTTAATCCTTGTTATTGTGGGCACAGCAGTTATGTTATTTAGGGTATTGTTGGAATGAAATTGAGAAAGATACTCTAGAGTATATTCCTATTTGGCTTATTTCAAATCTTGTTAAAAATAATAAAAAATAATCAAGCTCTCATTTTATATTTTAGTCTTATTTCAGGTTCAGCTTGAATAATTAGCAGATGCTCTTTGTCGGAATGTTTTAATTACTTTACTAGTTCATAATAGAAAAAAAACACGCAAAGGGCACAAGAAATATATTTAAAGGGCACAGAAGGATACGCTGTGAAAAATATTTCCTTTAACCTGTATGCTCCAGACACCCATCTGTACTCCTAGAGAAAGAAATTCTGCACTGTTACTAATTTTGGGGGTGTCTTTGCAGATATAACCTATGCTTAAATGAGCATATACTGTTCAGCCTTTAAAAATAAAAATAGCTGATAGCATGGTTATCCAGTTGTACACCTGGCATTTTCTCAAACAGTGTCTTATAGATAGCTCCATAGGAATCTGTATGGAGCTGCCTCCTTCATTATGGTGGTTGCTGTGGTTTCTGCTGCATTGAATGAATATCATAATTGATCTTATGGGTCTCTCCTTGATGAACATTTGCTTCATTAATTCAGATAGTGCAGCAGTGACTATCTATCTAGCTATCTATATTATATTTTGCCTGTATAATATATATCGGCAGGATAAATCCTTAGAAATCATGAAATTGTTGGATCAAACATGGTTTTCATTTTGATAAGATTTGCCAGATCACTCTCAATAGAGGTCATGCTAGATATACCTCTATAACAAATTCGGAGAATGGTACTTCTACAATGAGAATGATAGTAATACATGGGCTACTATTTCTTTCTCTTGATTCTTTAATGTTGATGACTTGGCATCTGGTACCTACTGCACTATTAAGTAAATTAGCTTATCATTTCAAGAACATGGATGTGCTGTTTTTAATTTAAATAATAACCTACTGCTGTTGATAGCTAACATATATCAGGCATTGTTCTATGAGGTTTAAACATATCAACTCATTTAATTTTCACAGCAACCCTATAGAGCAGTTAAAATTATTACTCTGTTTACAGATAAGGAAACTAAAATACAGGTATCTTACATGACTTGACAGAACTGGTAACTGAGATGGTTGGGATCTAGACCAAGGTATTTGAGAAGCCAAAGCCTATAACTAAATCACAAACATATAATACCCCTATTTCATTTTTTAAAAATCATGTTACATACATTTCTTGAATTGAGATCCATACTCTTATTGCAAATAATCTTTTTCATTCTTGTGTCTTTTTGTACTTTCAAACCTGTCTTTTACAGATGAGGCAGATTAAAGTAATAGTTTCTGATTTGTTTTTGCACAAAGGACACTTAGAAAACTAGGAACCAAGTTGAAATGATCTTCTGTGACCATCCCCTGTATTATAAATAAATATATAGCAGTTTTAGATTTTTTATTTTAAAATTGATGACCCTCAGGTTATTTCAGAAATACATCCAACAAGCTCCCAAGAAACATTTATAGTAATAAATGTTTAAATGTTTTTTTTTAAAAATAGCTTCCTGTAGTTCTTTCAGCAAGCTCACATGACACTTTTCAGCCGCTCACAACTGGCTCTGTTGTCCTGTACCTTGACATGCAGGCCTGGGTGAAATATTGGGGGCATAAAAATTGCATTTGGTTGGTCTGCTTGGAAGGGGTCATGTAAAAGTCATCTTTGATTTGCTAATGGAATTTTTTTTTGTTAGATGTAGTATATGGCAGCACTGATGTGCATCCTAAGGGAAAAACCGTCCATTTTATAAAAGTTTATTTTCATATTTTATACACTGTAGTTGTGTTGTGTGTTTTTGATTTAGTAACAATTTATGTGTTTTTCTGTCACAGAGCACTGCGGCCTGCGGTGCTGAGGCTCACAGCGATGCCATCCAGCCCAGCCACATCAGAGAGGCCGTCCGGCGCTATGGCCACAAGATTGGCCCCCTTTCCCCATTCACAGTACGTAATAACAGAGTTATAAAAAGTTATATTTATAATCTGAAAGAATTTTGATTTTCAAGTGGTCAAATGAAGCAGCAATGGAATTGTTGAAAGCAATTTGTGGTGGCTGTAATTTTGTTGTATAAAAGTGGCATAATTCTCTTGGGAAATAAGAGTTAGTCATTTTTGTCTCTTTTTGGAAGAACAGTTTTTTTCTCTACAAAATATTATTTTCTTTCAATTACAAATTATGCTTTTTTTTTCCTTGGGGCTTATATTTTCTATTTTTCAAAGCTTAGGTTTATAAAACTTTTTTTGTCAAATTATATGTATCCAAATATTGCTAGAAGCACTTTATATTTTAAAATTGGTTAGATTGGCAATACCACTTCTATCAGATGTTCTGCTCCTAAACATACTTTGAGTTGGAAGAAGAAGAAATGATTTCTCTACTGGCTTTGAAGTAGGCTGAAAGTCAGACAGTCTTCCACATCTTCAAATGGTTTTAAAGCTTATAATCAAGGTTTGTTTTTTTTTTTAATGGAGAATTAAAGACTTTATATTTCAACAGCCTAAAGAAAGAGTGTGTGTATGTGTGTTAGTTAAATGCTCATCTTGTGGCCCTTTTAAGAAAAATCTTTATTCATGTTAATATAACTTTCTCCAAGTCCTCTGTTTATAAGGGATTGGTTTGATTTTCAGAAAGTTAGGTTTGATTTATGACTAAAGCACAGTAGAATTAACCATTTGTTTCATTTTTGTATTCACATCTGCTTTAACATACTAAAGCAGAATATGTATGTGTAACATTACACATATATATGTACATAACATATATGTTTTTTCCTGAGTGGATTTTGCTATTATCTGTTGATAGAAGTCATAATTTCTTCTAAATTATCTCATCTTTTTTCTTGTGTTTCAGTTAAAGAGAATGCTTTCTTAGCCTTCTTTGTTTTCTTTGGTTATTGTTAATCATATGCATTATCAATATGACCACAAGAATGTGTCAGAGTTTCTTTGTCTCTAGAAGCTTTCTATAATGGTGATGATTATTTTCACTTCTGGTTAATGTATTAAATTTGTCATATATGTGATTTATCATATTTATATTAATCATATGTTACTGGTTAAGCAATATATCCTTTTGAATGAGTGCTTTTAGGTTATTACAATTGAAAGAATGAAGTCTGTATCTCTTGTTTTTTTTCCTACATGACAAGTGAGACTATTTTAAGTGATTAGCCAAAACGGAGATGAGATTTAGAGAAATATGAGTTGATTGGAAGAATTTAAAAACCAACTGAAATTGAAAGAACCAATTTATAACAAAGGATTAAAATTTTCAGATCCATAGATAAGAGCCAAATAATGACTAATAGTCTGAGGCAATGGAATAGAGAGAGAAGAAAAAGGCAGAGTTGATAATAATCTAGAACTAATTAAAGGGTAGCAAAGAGAGACAGGGGTTTTGAGAAGTAACCTAAAATGGTTACTAAAAGTAATGGGTAAAATTACATAAAGGAAAATGTATCTACCATAAGGGGAAATCTCCTAATCATAAGGTCTGTGATGTTTCTTCAAACGGAAGTGGTGGTGATGGTAAGGTCCTTAATTCTTAAAGTTTTTTGTTTTTAAGAACACTGGTCAGATCACTTGAGAACCATCTTGGCTGATGACACTATGTATCTGTGTGTGTGTGTGTACATGTTTATTCATTCCTCCATGTCTAACCTGATAGTCATGTATTGTTGCTTTTATAATCCAAGATTGTAGTATATGGCAGGAAATGTATTGAAATATTCAGAATACACACACACACACACACACACTCAGATATAGTTTAAGCTGATTTTTGTCTAATAAACATATAACCAGTATGGTTTTTTAAACTAATAATGCAATTTAAAAATGCTTAGTGTAAATAGATCTGGAAAATAGAACAAAGAAGCCATGATCTTGAAGGCCCACTTAACCACTGCCAGAGGAGATGGACAGCATCAACAGCAGATGGGAAAGAAGGCCACCACAGGTGGACATTGAGTTTTCTTCACACCTCAGACCTTGAATGGTCTACTCCATTACCTGGAACTATAAGAATTTGCCCAGCCTACAAGGCTGTATATGCCCACTCCATTGTCTAGCATGAGTAGTAGGATCAGGCAGTATTATGTATTACAAAACATAAATCTGCCTTTTAAAGTTAAAAATTCTCTTTAAAGTAGAGTAGTTTTGCAGACTACATATGCTAACAGTGTGAATACCAGTTCTGGTTCCCTCGTGCCTGCAGCTGTTAAGAGGAGATGCGCCTGATGCTGGGAGGATGCTGAAGCTGAGTTCCCTGATGCCCACTCCCTGAGATGATATTTGATGCTGCACTAGGGACACTGCTTCCTGGGCTTTGGTCTGTGACTCCTAAAAGGAGGGGAGGCATGTGGGCTGTGTCTCTAGGAACCTTAGACTGGACCTAAATTATGCAGAAAGGCTGAACTAACTTACCTCCAGTATGAAATTTCCTTTGTAAACTGAAATCGCCATGAACAGCTAGTTTATATTTATGAAACATAGAGATTCTGTCTTTGCGACATGTCATTCTGAACATAAAGTGCTTGTCTAATGTATATATAAATGAGATATCTCATTTAGAGTACCCATAACTTGACTTTAGAAATTAGTTTTAGGAGTTAGCTAAAACTATGAGACAAATTTGGAGAATTAAAATGACAGCCAGTAGGTTACTTGGAAACTGAATTCCAACATCAACCAGTAAGCCAAAAAAATTTTGCTTTTGATGTGGCATCATTCTGTCTTCTACTGTATGACTTGTGAAATGATTTTGTACAAATTTACACCATGATAGATTTCAGGAATGCAGCTCATTATATGAAGAATTGAAAGTGAATTCTTCCCCTTGGGAATAATTAGTTGAAATGGCAGAAGAAAGGGGTGATTAAAGCCATGTAAGGCGGAGGGTAGAAAGGAGGGAAACAGTGTTTTGCACGGGGTAGCTGCTGGATTGGAGAGGGAGGGGACAGAGCAACAGAAACAGCAGCTTCCTGCCGTTCATACCAGGGCTGTGGAGACACCTATAAACCTCCAGTCCCCATTCAGCCAGTTACAACTATATTGCCTTTGGCATGTTGGTTTTACTCCGTGACTTCTTTCTTTTCAGTGTTTTCATTTATTCTCAACCCTTTGCAGAAGATCAGAAGAGAGTATCATACCTAGAAGTTAAAGGATTAATTGAGATTAAGCTGAGGTTAATTTAAGTTAGATTTTTTTTTTTCCTGCAACTTTTACCATGGCTGTATGTATTCCTGATCTTCTGTGGTGGTGACTTACCTTCTCTATCTATCTTAAATGCTAAAGAACATTTAAAAGGACTAGTTTACCTTTTATTATTGATTTTTCCTAAATAATTCTGAAAATCACTTCAGAGCCTGCGATTTGTAGTCATTACAGTACTTAGCAAACTGGGGTATCCTGAGACATTTTGATGCTTGTCATCTTATCCTTTTACTCATTGTAGTTGGCATTATGTGAAGTTATATTGCATGGTGATTGACCCTAGAGCCAAATGGCCAAGATTAAGATCCCAAGTCTCCACCTACTAACAATGTAGCCTTAAGGGAGTTCCTTAACCTCTCTATGGCTCAGTTACCTCATCTATAAAATGGGCATAATAATAGAACATACTTTGTGATAGAATCTAAGGAGTACTGTGAACTTGACAAGCGATGAGCTCTCAATGTATTGTATTAATAATAGTGGCAGTAATAGTAGTGGAAGTAGCAGTAGTAGCTGCAGTATATTTTCTAAAAACTATCAGGTAAAAATACAAATTGAGTAAAGTAGAAACTATTTCCCCCGCCACCAAACACACAGATATACAGACACAGAAGCCTCACTTTGTGATCTTAGAAGAAACTAAAATTTGAATTATAATATGACTTCTTTGCAGACTTATAGTTTACACCATTAAGATGTAAATGCTACTTAAAGATTATTGTTCCTGAGAATAAATTAAGGTTCATTTTCACTTTTTGAGTTAATTGTGGTTGAAGAACATTAATGGATTTTTTTTTTTTTTTACCACCACTATCATATTAAAAAATAAGGTCTCAGCAGCTGAGTGTCCGTAGTTTCCACTTGATTTTTGCTTACTAGTTAGGTTTTGCTTACTGGCTCCTGTGAAACAGAAATCTATGGAACAAATGGCACAGCCTCAGATTTATAAAGCTTCATCAAATTCAGTTTATATGAATTTATATATTTGTGTAAGTTATTGAAAAAAGGTTTTCAGAGGCTGATGTATATATCAAAGTTGGTATAATTTTTAAGCATAAATTATTACTAGTCTCTTTATCTAGGGTGAAACAGATCACCAGCCCAGGTTGGATGCATGAGACAAGTGCTCGGACCTGGTGCACTGGGAAGACCCAGAGGGATCGGGTGGAGAGGGAGGTGGGAGGGGGGACCGGGATGGGGAATACATGTAAATCCATGGCTAATTCATTTCAATGTATGACAAAAACCACTGCAATGTTGTAAAGTAATTAGCCTCCAACTAATAAAAATAAATGGAAAAAAAATAAAAATAAAAAAAATAAAATTTCCTCAGTTTACCAATTATAAAAATAATGCTAGCATGTTAGAAAATTAAAATATAGAAAAGTAAAGGATAAAATAAATCTTAAATTAAGAAACTTTTAGGGCCTTAAAAAAACAGTATAGCAAAAGCTTTAAATGAGTTTTTCTATCAGACAATTAATTGGTACTTAATTGTTTTAATTGAATTTAATTGTGTAACAGAAGAGTATTTCCTTGCAGCCTAAAGATTCAAATGCTTTTGGTAATGGTTTAAAAAAAAATTCTTAGAATATTCTTGTTCAGGTCAAAGGAAAAGAAAGCATTTAAAAATTTTGTGAATGAAGTAGATTTTACAATTAGAGCATTTTGTTTTTTCTCTTGAAGAAAATACCCACAAAGAATAACTCAGTGGACTGTGTTATCTGTCA